CGACCATGCCCGAGCCGGCCAAGTCCGCGCCCGCCCCGAAGAAGGGCTCCAAGAAGGCGGTGACCAAGGCGCAGAAGAAGGACGGCAAGAAGCGCAAGCGCAGCCGCAAGGAGAGCTACTCGGTCTACGTGTACAAGGTGCTGAAGCAGGTGCACCCCGACACCGGCATCTCGTCCAAGGCCATGGGCATCATGAACTCCTTCGTCAACGACATCTTCGAGCGCATCGCGGGCGAGGCGTCGCGCCTGGCGCATTACAACAAGCGCTCGACCATCACGTCGCGGGAGATCCAGACGGCCGTGCGCCTGCTGCTGCCCGGCGAGCTGGCCAAGCACGCCGTGTCCGAGGGCACCAAGGCCGTCACCAAGTACACCAGCGCCAAGTAAGTGCCTCTGCAGGCACCTCTTTATCCAAAGGCTCTTTTCAGAGCCACCTATGTTCTCAGAGAGAGAGCTGGTGCGAAGTCGCGCAACAATCTTTTGAGAACTTGTCGACCCACTAAGGACAAAAATAGCCACATGACCCTGTCAAGGGTCTGGAACTCCTTTATGGAAGAACGCCCTGAGCTTTACAATGTCGTTTAGGAATTCCCTACATTTAAAAGGGCTCTGCCACCTCTCAGGGTTAAGGAAGGATGTAAAGGGAAATGTTAAACTCTACGCGTTATGTTCAAATACGCCCAGTCCCCTACCGGGGATCGTTGGACTGGCGCCCAGGGCCGAGGTTTCGCGGGCGGTTTGAATCCGCCCCGGGCGCGCCAGCCCGGACGCTGCCTCCTGGAATGCGAGGCCCCCCGCCCCCAGCTCGATCGGCGCTGCCCGGTGGCCCCTCCTGCCCGTCATTCTTTCCTCTTGAGCGTCGTACCCATTCGGGAGTGAGGTTTATTTCCTCTTGAAATTTTCGTTGGAGAGAAGGTGGTTGAAAGAAGTAATTGCACCATGTATCGAAAACATAACCCCGGATTGATGACACTTCCAGACTCTCCCATAAGCCATCAGCAAATGTCTGCTTCCTTTAGGCTGCGGCCCTTTGGGGTCTTCGTTACACAGGCGAAATGGCATTCTAACTAATACATGTGCTTTTACTTAGTGAGTTTTTGGTTTGGTATTTTCTATTGATTTCCCCCTTATACAAAAGAAGACTCGCCTTTCCTCACCGAGAGCACAACATACAGGCACTTTTCTGTCAACCTTTCATGTGTAGCTGTATCATAATCTTTGTAGAACTGGTATTTGCTCTTTAGACAAATATTGTTCACTGATCTCATATTGTTTCCTGAACATCAGAATTTTTTTTTAATTGGGCGATTTCTAAACTTTCTGTAATGTTTCCATTCTAATGTTTTCTTTCACACTATCCTGCAATTATTTCCTTCCCTTCCAGGGGTGCTGGACACCCCATTCCCAAGGCTTTTTCCACCTTAATTTGCCTTAGTAGAGGACATTGTAGAGGAGCTTCCTCTTGTGTGGAAGGCTTTTATATTTTTTATGTTTTAGGAAGGTGGGGGGTAAGAGACAAAAAATGGGAAATGCTGATATGGAAACTTGACTAGTTCAGTTTCTCACTGCATCCTTCCTATTCATATAATTAAAACTAAGCACATTTCTGAGGTAAATAATTGTAATTGTGGAGGGAGAGGGAAAGTGGCACTCCACAGGCAATGAGGCTACCTGGTACTTTTGTTCAGGGGAAAATGTCAGTAGTTTTATATAAATTTTAAGGTGAGAAAAGAGATTCAAGAGGTTAGTAGTGAAAGAGTAAAATCTTAATTCGGGCCTGAAAAGAGTGACAAGCAGCCTGGACCAATAAAGATAAAGTTGGTCCTACTGTCAACCAGGTTGGGAGAACAGACAGGTAACGCTGGCTATGAAATTACCTGGATTTTTCTCCCAAGGTCATTTACAATAACCATCCCCTTCAGTAATTACTCTTTTCCTACCAAAGGTGCCCCAAACCACTTTGCTAGACCCCACCGTGACTGGGGGTCCCTAATGCATAAACCACCCTGTTTCATGACAGCACCCAATCCTAATTGACTCCTGCTAATCCCCCTTGGAAAATATCAACACACCCCAAACTGGTCCATGCTTCCCTGAGAGTCTCCTCGGACAAAAGCCACTGAAAATTATAAGCAGTGAACTCACTGGAAAAAGTTTGGGCGTTTTAAAAAGACAACTCTGGAAATATTGAGATCTATGTATCAGAGATATAAAAATTGGAACCACATGGCAAGCCAGGAAACTTAGACTAATCAAAATGGAATATTTAGTGGATATTAAATGTAAGAATTCTAATTATGGATTGAAAGCAAAAGCCCCTCCCATGAAACAATATGTAACATCGGGTGGAGTTGAGGGATAATCCGTGAAATCTGCCCTAGCGGGTGGGACACAACCGTCCTCACCGAGCAGGTGCCGTGACTGAGGGACCAGCCTTCTCCAGGTCCAGCTCGGGGTAGCGGGCAGATCCCTAAGGGTGTTGAAAGCTGTTTTGAGAAGATTTACGCACCAAAAACCACGCAGCCGACGAGGGTGGGATTCGAACCCACGCGTGCAGAGCACAATGGATTAGCAGTCCATCGCCTTAACCACTCGGCCACCTCGTCCTCCGGGGCTGGCTGCTGGTGCGCGTCCGCCTTGGACTCGTTCCTGGGCCCTGCCGGACGCTCGGATGGACAGGCCCTGGGGTGTGGCCGGGAGATGTCTGCGGACTTGGGGACGGATTCTTTCCCTCCACGTAAGAGACCAGAACCCGAGGGGAAGCGGCCGGGACGGGATGGAAACGCGTGTGGGGCCTTCGCCCCTTCCCAGCGCCCCGGTCCCCCGGGGGCGACGGGCTTCGCAGTCCCCCC